GCCCATCCCCGGCCCATCCCCGGCCCATCCCCACCCCCGACCCTGGTTGTTCTCCCGGGGACCCTCGTCCCTAGTGGCTGGCCCGACGCTCCTGCTGCCGGGAGGGGTCCCGGGCAGGGTCCTGCCCTGAGCTGACTCACCTGCCCTGCATACCCCTGACGGTGACGGTCACCGCTGGGGGGTCGTGTCATCCTCACCCCACCCGGGAGGCACGTGCTGCACCGAGGAGCGGTCGCAGGTCAAAAAGAGGCCCGTTCGTTCCCCAGGGCACACGGCGGTGTGAACCCACGCGAGGGCGCTGCCCCACTCTGGTTCCGGCGGGCCTAGCGCCCGCCCCTACCTACCCCGCCGTGGCTGTGGGGCCGCGCGGCTGTGTGCCAGCCCTGCCTCCACCCCGGCGGGCAGCCAGAAAACTGTCCCCCACGCTTTTTGTGTTTTGATTCTGGTAACATATCCACAAAACATTAAATTTACCATTTTTAAGTGTACAATTCAGTGACATCTGTCCCTTTCCCTTTTAGCACCTTAAATACTAGTTTTGTTCTTAAGGAAGAGGGGCAGAAAGGGAAATGCAGATGTGAAAATCCAGCGCCCTGGAGTGGCCTCAGTCAGGAGGGGACAGCTCAGTGACTTCCCAGGAGGTGAACCCTGCAGGGGACCACACCGGGCGAGGGCGGAGGCCTCCTGTCCTGTGTCCCCTCCAGGCCACCTCTCCCATAGTCCCAGCCACACTCCATCACCCTGCCCATGACCATGGAAGGTGCCATCTGTTTTTGGACCTCGCCTGGACTTGGGCCTTGTTGAGGTCTCTCCCAGGGCAGATGCTGCCTTTTCATTGCTCCATAGTATTCCGGAGACACGATCCGATCACTTGCTTTTTAGGGCGAGAGCGATGGTGCCCCTCCTGGTGCGCGGGCCTGCGTGGCTCTTCCAGTGGCGGGCGGCCTGCACTCTGGGAGCCTTTGTGCAGCAGAGGACCTGGGCAGGGGCGTCCAGGATCCCTGGGCTGGGCGGTCCCCTGGTTCAAAGGGGCAGCTCCTCGGCATCCTCGCGGGCTCCTGAGGTGGTGCTGACCCAGGAGCGCTACCCGGTGCGGCGGCTCCCGTTCGCCCAGGTGTCTGAGGACGACCTGGCTGCCCTCGAGCGCATCGTCCCCGGCAGGGTCATCACAGACCCGGAGGAGCTAGAAGCTCCCAATGTGGACTGGCTGAGGACCGTCCGAGGTGAGTGAGTGTCTGGTCACGCCTCATGCTTTGGAGGGTAGGAGGTGGGTTTGAGGAACAGCGTGAGCCGAGGGTTGGGTGGAGGAGCTCAGGGTCGTGTCACATATGCCTTTCTGATGCCCAATAGAAGCCGCACTGCAGTGACTTTTCAGTGTTCTGAGAACACATTTGTGCAAGTTTATCCATGGTGCACAGCATCTGCAGATTACAAGGTGCAGCAGCCCCCTGGCTGCTCCGTGGGGTGCATGTGTTAGCTACCGTTTACGTCCTCTCAGCGCCTGTTCTGGGGCCGCGTGTGACAAAGAGCCACACACAGGGCTGGAGACAACAGAAGTTTATCCTCTCAGTTCTGAGACCAAGGCGTGGGCAGGGCTGTGCTCCGCCTGGAGCCTCTCCTAGCTGCTGGGACTCCCGGTTCCTTGGCTTGTGAAAACATCCCTCCGGCCCCTGCCCCGTCGTCACACAGCCCGGGTCTCTGTGTCTCAGATCTCCCTCTATTCTCTTAGAGGGCACCTGGTTTGGATTCAGGGCCACCCTCATCCAAGATGATCTCATCTGAAGACCCTCAACTTTGTTACATCTGTAAAGACTCTTTATCCAAATAAGGTTGCATTCTCAAGTCCTGAGGGGTGGGATGTGGAGGTATCTTTTTGGGGGGCCTGTTCTCCCCACTGCAGTTTCCTGGGGCCAGATGCTGTCTGGGCACCCCTGCTTCCCCTCCTTCCACACCTGTTCCCACTGCACACGTCTGTGCACCGGCTCCGTGGTTCTCAGCTGCCTAGACCCAGCAGGCCCTTCTGATAAAAGATTTTGTGATGTCCTGTGTTCTTTCCTGAACTGCTCTCAAAGATAATGTGACCCACTTACTTAGTTACAAAAAACCAACAAGATATTTTTGCTATGGTGTTAAAGGGATCTAGAAGACAAGCAATTTACAACAAAAGGACGCGCTGAAAACTGTAACTCGGGGACACACTGCGCAGCCAGGTCCTCGGCTTGGGCCTGGACTCAGAGCACTTGGGGCGGAAGAGGAGCAGCGAGGGGTGCAGTGGTGCTCACTCAGACCCTGGGGCTGGGGGCCTTGCTGTCGGCCTGAACAGGCCCCTTCACAGCCTGGAAACCTCACATAGCCTTGAGCAAGTGGACCTGGGCCGTAGGCGCAGAGAACGAGGCGACTCTGCCCCGTGGGGAGGCCCTGCTTCTCGGCCAGGGTGCCCTCCGGTGGAAGCAGCCCCGCCCTGCCCACCACGTAAGGACCCCCATAGGGGCGAAACCACCCTGTCAAGTGCCCACCCGGCACAGCCAGCCCTGTTCCTGGCCCTGGCTCAGTGCTGCTGCCTGGGCCGACCTGAGCAGGTGGACCTCGGTGCCCAGCCCCACATGTGGGCTGCCGCACACTTGCTGTTTCCCAAGGCTGGGTCCTCCTGCCCACTGGGCTTCCGAGGCAGGGGAAGCTGTAACTGGGCAGGGTCTGCTGTCTCCTGGGGCTCTTCCCAGGAGCTCAGTGGGGCGGCGCTGGGCTAGCTCAGCTCTGAATCCACAGGGCTCCTGGCCCAGTGTCTGCTCAGTGGGCGTCAGTTGGGGCATTTGTCAAACTTTTGTTGAAATACCCCTTTATGTGGCTTTCTTTAGGAGAGAAAGCATGTCTAAGCTTCTGATCATTTAAAAGTTTAATCTCAGAGTTATCTAGAAAGCATGAACAAGGAAAAGCTCGTTAGGACCTTACAGTTTTTCTGAAGAAGTGAGATTTTATCTGACATGGACACTGTTAGTAAATATCTCCTCCTTCAAAAATTAGACCACTTGCTCACGGGGGAAGCCCACACACTTTGCGCCTGCACTGAGTGGTGGACAGCAGGCTGACCCGCAGGGCAGTGGCTGGAGCAGGAGGAGAGATGGGTGTGCAACGGGCAGGTGCTGAGAGCTGGTCGGTTCCGGCCATGTTTGGAAGAGAGGCTGGCTGATGACTGGACTGGGGTGTGAAAGAAAGTGAGCAGGGATGCCGGGGCGTTTGGCCTGAACAGTCGCAAAAACTGGATTCCATTTGCTGAGCTGAGGAAGGTGACAGGTCTGCTGGGGGAAAACCAGGAGTTTGGGTTTGGACACGTCCAGATGGACATGTGAGAGGGCCTGTCAGGCCATGGAGTAAGCTAGTCTGAGGTCCAGGGCAGGGTCCGTGTGGAGACAGGATAGGTGATGCCAGTGCCCCAAGAAGGCTGGTGACTGCTGTGGTCAGTGGAGGGGAGGGGGCCGGCCAGTGTGGTGGTGGGGCCCAGGGGGAGTGTGTCCTAGAGCTGTGTGGGAAAAGGCGGGGAGGCAGGGTCTTGAGGTCAGATGCAGCTCAGGGACAGGCTAAGACGAGACCCAGGGTGTCCTCGGGGATGCAATGAAGGCACCCCTGGGGTGGGGGGGCTGAGGCAGGCAGGGAAGTGGGGGTGGTTCATGGGGACAGGGGTCAAGAGAAGATTTCGTTTCTAGTTTTAGGGTGGGAGCGCTTTTTCAGCAGGTTTGTGATGTTGACAGGAGTGCTGAGGTAGAGAGGAAACAGTGGATGAGGCAGCAAAGACGGGGGCTGGAGCGATGTCCCAGGGGAGCGGGCGGAGGGACCCGTGCCTGGCGGGGTCGGGGCACAGTCCCAGGGCAGGTGCCGCCGGCCCCTAGGAGTGAAGAGGAGGATCTGAGCTGAGAGCCTGATCTGATCTGAGTTGAAAATCTCCCCCAGGGCCAGCAGGCTCCTGCGGAGGGCGGGACAGGGAGGGTTTAGACTTGCCGGCCACATGGCTACAGCTCTGCCCTCTGAAGTCACCGGGACTCAACTAGGGGACAGGCCAGGGTCGTGTGTGCTGTGACAGCGGTGCGTGGAGGAGGCTGGGGCAAAGAGGGTGCCTTCTGCCCTCCAAGCCCAGCAACACCCCGAGTGAGGGGGAAGCCAGCGGCCTAGGGCGAAGTTGGCTGACCTGCTCTCCTCAGGGATGGGGGCTTGGAAAGGTGGGGCTGATTTGCACTTTTTGGTGCTGCTGGAAGGTGGTGGGCAGGACGCAGGCCATGCTGAGGTGGAGGGCCATCCCCCGTGAGGGTGTGCAGAGTGGGAGGGAGGCCAAAGGCCGTGGGGGTTTCCTGACCCGATGCCCCTCGCCAGCCTGCACATCCTGGCCTCTCCAGGCTGGGCGCTTCGTTCCTTCAGTCCTGGGCAGTTTCCCCCAGTTGTCTCCGGTGATCCTCCCTCCTCTCTGCTCTGCTGTCTCTTTGTAGGGCTCCCCTGAGTAACATACGGGACCCTTTTCTCTTCCTTTCCCCTGTGAGAAAGTAAACTTCAGGGAGTGGGAGCTCTTGTCCATTTTTATTATCTGTGCCTGCAACCAGGCACCCAGGGTGGGGGCTTAAATGCTGCTGAGAAGTTATGCAGGCCTCCTGCAGGTTACTAAGGTCCCTGGACTGTGCTGTCCTAAAGTGACTGGGGCCGCAGATCTGGACACTGGACATGGTTCATGTGATGAAAAGCAAATGAGAAAGAGTTTTCAGAATACAAAAAAAAAAAATAAAAATAGACAGCCTGATCTCAGAGCTTGGTAAAAGTCACTGACTTAGCACAGGCAGAGCCTCTGTCTAGAGTGCTTTCCACAAAGTCAAAAGGGTAGAAAGAAGCTTGATTATGTTGGAGGCAGCAGTTGAGAACACTGACGGACAGGGCACACTAGGCACCACATAAATCATGCCAGCAGGGAATTGTAACCCGGCAAATAATGGAAGAACCCCTGAACCCACAGTGGTGTGGTTTGTGGTTCATACGTTAACACATAGGAGAGAAGGGAAGCTCCCCTCAGAGCCGAAGGCCGACTGATAACGTGTAGGTGGACGGATGGATGGAGAAAGTCACCTTTGCAACCATCCTAAGAAGTGATACAGGTGAGGGTGATGAACCGAAGCTAAAATTCACGGGGGACCACGTGCGGAGCAGCCACATAGATATTCGTGACTTCTCCAGTGTCTCCCCGCAAGACACGTGTCAATTACAAAGGGAACACCAGTAACTTGCGTGGGGAAGCCAGGCAGACGCTGCTACCCTGGGGTCCAGCCGCCTGGCTCCCGGGACCACTTCTGTCCTGGAGGTTTGCAGGCCGCCTTCACCTGGAGGGAGGGAGGGAGGAGCGTGCCTGTGGGGAGCACTGCCCACCCCCCAGTGGGGTGACAGTGCTGCTCTCTCTCACAGGCTCCAGCAAGGTGCTGCTGAGGCCACGGACGTCCCAGGAGGTGGCTCACATCCTCAGGTAACGTGTGGTGCCAGCTCCCCGCCTGCCCTCACCTCCCTGCCTGCCCTCACCTCCCCGCCTGCCCTCACCTCCGTGTGTTCCCCCGTGGTTTCCTCGCCTACGTGGGGCGTGGGACACGCAGACCCCAAGATGCAGCCAGTGACCTGGGCCCAGGAGGAGGGAGGGAAGTGCGGGTCCGGAATCTTGGACTCTTGGGGTGCCTTGTGGGCCTTGGATGGGGAGCGGCTGCAGACTCGGAGAAGGGCAGGGAAGGAAACAGACCTTTTCTTGAAAAACACGTTCTTGATTTTATATCAACACACTCTCACGTTTACTACAGAAAAATTGGAAAACATACAAAACATGAAGAAAAAAATGCAAGAGCAACTGATAATTTCTCCTCCTAAGATAACCCCTGATGGCACTGGGTTTGTCTCTCAGGGCCCTTACTGCACACGTGTGACTTTTAAACGTTATCACGTTGTGTGTAAGACGTTGCAGTCTTTTCTTTTCTTTCCGTTTGGCAGCATCCATACCCTTTCTTGGTGCTAAGTATTCTCCCAGACCTCTTTTAATGCCTGAAGAGTGTCCCCTCCACTAGTGCTCTGCACATGCTCTGTTCCAGCCACACTGGAGGCCGGCCGTCTGACGGCGGGCTGACCTGATGCGTGTGGATGCCCACTGCCCTAATCCTTACCACCAGGGCCCTCATCCCTTTAGGTCTTTGCAGAGGGTAGCCTGGTTGGGGATGAGGCAGGGCGAGACTTACAGGGGAGGGGACGTAGGGTATGGGGCGGGAGGGAGCCCAGGTGCCTGGGAATCATGGCTCTTTAGGTGAATGGGAGGGGCTGAAGCTCCTGGGAGGAGCGGCCTCTGGGGTCATCCATGACCTGGGAAGAGGCCAGCCTCCAGCTGCCCGTGCAGTTTCGTGATGGACGTTTACCCCTTCAGCCTCCCATCCTGCGTGGGGGCCGAGGAGGCACCCCTTCGCAGCAGGGGCTGGAGGCGTCCTGCCTTGGTGGCGTGGTGGGGTTTGGGGGCCTCAACCCCGGGAGTGTCCCCACGGGTGGTGGCATGGGCGTGGGGAAGAGGGACCCCGATGCCCATCCTGTGCCGTCCCAGGTACTGTCACGAGAGGAACCTGGCCGTGAGCCCACAGGGGGGCAACACAGGCATGGTGGGGGGCAGCGTCCCCGTCTTCGATGAGATCATCCTGTCTACCACCCTGATGAACCAGGTCATGAGCTTCCACGACGTGTCCGGTAAGGTGCACTGTGCGGCGGGGACTTCCCTCAGCTGCGGGCCAGGCGCTCTGGCTATGTCTGCACTGTGGTGACTTACACCCGTGGCTTGAGCTGTCGCTGTGGCCCCTTTGGCTCTGACATTTCCTGGCCACGGCAGCCCTTTCTAGGGGCATACCGGGGGGGCTCCGTGCTCATGAAGCCCCAGGGCTTGTCAGCAGGGTGCAGGGGCGGATCCTCCTTGTGGTGGGGGCACTGGGCTCCGAGGTGCTGGGCAGCACCCCTGGCCTCCATCCCCTGGATGCCAGCAGCTCCCAACCCCAAACATCTCGAGACTTATCACGCGTCGCGGGGGCCAAATCACCCCCAGTTGAGGGCCACTGCCTGATAACAACCCTCTCTTGACTGCTCCTTCCCTCCCGTAAGCGCACGTGTGTGTGTGTGTGTGTGTGTGTGTGTGTGTGTGTGTGTGTGTGTTTGTGTGTCTTTCCTTCCTTTCTCCTGAAGACAACTTCCAGGGAGGGGCAGGAGGGGTGGGGGCTGTCCTCCTCTCCTTGCCCAGGCCCCTGGTGGGGAGGCGCTCCTTGTGGGGATCTGGCTCCTCCTGAGCTGGGGCGCCTGCGGTCACTGTTTGCCTGGCAGGGGTGCTGGTGTGCCAGGCGGGCTGCATCCTGGAGGAGCTGGGCCGGTACGTGGAGGAGCGGGGCTTCCTCATGCCCCTGGACTTGGGGGCGAAGGGCAGCTGTCACATCGGGGGCAACGTGGCGACCAACGCGGGTGGCCTGCGGTTCCTTCGATACGGCTCGCTGCGTGGGACCGTCCTGGGCCTGGAAGTGGTGAGCCGGGGGCACCACTGCGGCTGTGTGTCTGAGCGCTCGCCCCACTTCCAGGATGTCTGGCCTGGCTTCCTCTGGTCCGTGGGTCAGTCCCAGGGTGGCCGCTCTTCCAGCCCTTCGAGTGGTCTGTTGCAGAGTCTCCGGATGAGACCCCCCCACAACATCCCCCGGCTCGGCCCCATCGGGTCCACACTTCCTCCTGTGTGTGGACACCTGGGCTGTCCTCTTGGGCCCCAGGTGGTGCGGGTGCAGGAAGCCACCTTGGGGGTGGGGGGACCACGTGCCAGACTGGAGATCCCGGCTCCCATGGTAACAGTACCTGGTGTCTGCTCGGTCCCACCGGATGTGTGGGTTACACACAGCACCCCGCTCAGGGCGGCTGCTCTCTGCTGCTCTCTGCTGCTCTCATGTCCACGTGAGGAGCAGCTGTGGGAACTGTCACCTTGGGCAGGTTCCTGGACCAGCGACGTTCCCCTGCATGGGCTTCCAGAGGGCTTATGCACAGAGAAGGAGCTGGATCACACCACCCTCGCTGCCCCCAGGGTCATTTCAGCCTGCAACGAACCTCAGGGTTCTCTAAGGTGTGAGGCCCCCATCTATTTACCCAAGGGTGGAAGGAGCTCAAAGCCCACGTTGGACTTCCATCTGCTAAATCACAAGCTTCCTGTAGCTTTGTTCTCTGGCTGCAGGTTATTTTTATTGTAAGTCACTTCCTCACTTTTACGAGCTGTTTCACTAAGCTTCTGACTAAATGCACAAACAAGACAGACAGGCTTACAGAGCACGATTGAGGTACTTTAGATGAGGAAAGCAGGGGTGCGTGAGCTGATGCACTGCCATTCTCTGCCTTCTCTTAGCTCCACCCCAGGTGCGCCCTCCCCCACCCCAGGTGCTCTTGCTTCACCCCAGGTGCACCCACCTCCACCCACAGGTGTGTGCCCTCCTATAGCCCCAGTGCTCCTGTTCCACCCCAGGTGCACCCTCCTCCACCCTAGGTGTGCCCTCCTCCACCCCCAGGTGTGCCCTGCCGCAGCCCTAGTGTGTGTTGCTTCAGGCCAGCTTCCCTGGAGGACTGGGCCCTGAGCTTCTGGTTGTGGTGGTGGTGGGAGATCTTCGCTGCATCTGGGAAGAGCACTCCTTCCTTCAGCCTGATGGGGCGACTTCAAGCCTGCTGTCACTGCAGGGCCCCCTGTATTCCTGGGCCAAACTGGGGTGGGGGGCTCACAACTGGCCTGGCTTTCTTGGGGTGCCCTGGGCTGGGTCAGCCTCCCCCGAGGTTGGTGGCCGGAGCCGGGTGTCTGTCGAAACTGTGGGTCGAGGCAGGAACACCGCTTCTCTGCTCTCCTGCAGGTGCTCGCGGATGGCACGATCCTGAACTGCCTCACGTCCCTGCGGAAGGACAACACGGGCTATGACCTGAAGCAGCTCTTTATTGGGTCGGAGGGCACCCTGGGAGTCATTACTGCCGTGTCCATCCTGTGTCCGCCCAAGCCCAGTGCCGTGAACGTGGCCTTCCTTGGTAGGTGCCCCCATCTGCCTCTCAGGCAGGTTCTCCAGCTGCGCTGCTGTGTGTGAGGGAGGGGACGCAAGTGGCCTCCCGGGACAGCGGACCTTGTGGGTCTGGGGCCAGCCTCCTGCCCCTGGGCAGAGCACACTTCATTCTGTAGCAGAACTGGGGCTCCGTGCTTCTCACCCCTCGGTGTTGTTTAAGTGGCTTATACTGTAAGATTCGCAAGGAAATGGTGTCACTGGTGTAAGGTCAAGGACACACTCTGTTCGTCACCGGGGGTGACGAGGGCACCCCTGTACGGCCAGCTAGGTGCCCCCTCCCCAGGGCCAGCCCTCCGCCCATGCAGGCCGCCCTGCCTCCCTTCAGCCTCGTTAGGTCTGTCCCTGCTCCTCCTCCTCTGCTGGCTCAGGCATTGTGCGCAGACCCTTATCGAGGGGTCGCCATAGGCGGCCAGCTCCCCGGGGATGTGTCCAGCTGCTGGACAGACTCAGGGACCCAGGGGCTTCCACAACCCCGTGTCTTGTAGTCGTGAGCCCTAATTCCATCTTGACTTCTCAGCCTCTCTAGTCATGGTTATTACTACGTCACAAACGTTCATTTTCTTTGCCCGGCGTTCCTTCCTGCATCAAACCCTGCCTGCGGGTCATGTCCCTTGTGCGCACCCTGTCACTTCCTGGAATGCCACTGCTGCTGTGAGTCCCCACTCTCAGTCACCCCATCCTGGAGACCCTTCTGCTCGTGCAGGCGGACACTGGTTCTCTCTCATCCTGTGGAATACTCATGGCCCCCACGTGGCTCCCCTGCTGTTGGTGGGAACCTAGCGGTCCCTGCTGCCACTGCTCTGTCAGAGTCCGCCTCTCTCTTTGGCTGACTTAAAGATTTTCTCTCTGAATTTCCTGAACTTCCGAAACCTGAGGCTTGGTGTCCCCACTTCCAGAAGCCCCCCGCCATCCCCTCCTCAGGGGCCACCCCTGTTTTCCTTCCTCCCAGATCTGTGGTTAAATGCATGGAGAATTTCTCAGTCCTCCACGTCTCCACCTCTCCCACGTTCCAGTCTTTCTCATGCTGTGTTGGTTCTGGCTGGTTTCTTCCCACCTGTTTCCAGTTCACCCATGGTCCCTTGATTCAGATACTGCCAGCCCTGTGTGTCCAGCCCTGCACCTGGCCATGGCCTCTTGTGTTCCTGGGACCTGCAGAGTTGGGGATCATTCATGGCATCTTCTGCGGGCCTCCCTGACCTCCACGGGAGCTCTCAGTGCCTCCTGCCTCTGCCCTGAAAGGCCACGTGCACCCACCCCCCCCCTGCCGTCTTCCGGCCCTTCCCACTTGCTGACACTTGACAGTCAGCTTCTGGGCACTGGGCTCCGAACAAACGTGTGGTGAATGTGCCTTGAATGGCTTACTGAGAACAGTGCAAACCTGAGCGCGGGTTGCAGTCAGAGAAATACAATTCAGCTGCTACCGAAGGCAGCCTGTCCTGGCCCTGCATTTGCAGACTTCTCAGCACCATGGGGCTCTCAGGCAGCATTTTATCTTACTCTTGATATCTGTGACCTGCATGGTGGCCGACCTGTGGGGGGCTGCCCGGCTTGCTCCTGGGGAGTCAGGTTGGCGTTGCTGCTTTAAAGGGGGCCCTGGGGGGGGTCAGCGGGTGAGGCCCTGCGTACGCGTGACCAACTGGCCTGTCCTTGTGCTGTGCCTACCGTAGGCTGTCCTGGCTTCGCAGAGGTGTTGCAAACCTTCAGCACCTGTAGGCAGAAGCTGGGCGAGATCCTGTCCGCGTTCGAGTTCATGGATGCTGAGTGCATGAAGCTGGTGGAGCTGCACCTCCGGCTTGCCAGCCCCGTGCGAGGTACCGGCCCCGCCTGCGGGGGTGGGTGGTCAGCCTTCGTTTGTCCACAGAGTAGAAGGTAGCAAGGAGCATGGCCGACCCCCACAGGTCAGCTGTCCCACAGTGTTCAGTGCAGGATTCTCTCTTAAATTCGTTTTAAATGTGCCCCTGGAGTTCATTGGGTCAAATGCTGTCTGGGTATGTAGCCCTGGGGCCTTGGAACAGCCAGACACGCTCAAGGAGCCTTCCCGTCTCCTCAAGCAGGAGACATGCTCACCTTTGGAGATAGGCCCTTCTTTCTGATTTAGTGGATGAACTCGGCACTGCAGTCCTGCAGTCACTGCGGCGTGAGTCCACACGGTGTCTCGGAAAGCAGTTGGGTGCCAGCACCTCGACGTTAAAGATGTTCAGCTGTAGGCCTTGGTGTTTTGCTCCCAGATGCGCCCGGAGGAAGTGACCGGTGCCTCACCTGACTGCCCCACTAGCATTCCACATTCTTCAGCAAAGCAGATTTGTTTCTCACGGTTCTGGGGCTGGGAGTCTGGGTCCAGGCTCCACTGGGCTTGGTGTCGGGTGAGGCCTGCGTCCTGGCTACAGGCGGCCGCTTGCTCACTGCGTCCTCACGTGGCCTCTTCTGTGTGTAGGGAGCGGACTCTCTGGGGTTGCTGCTTCTTCCTATGAAGGCATCAGCCCCATAAGATCAGGGCCCCACTCTTACGACCTCACCTAACCTTAATTACCTCCCTGAAGGTCCGATTTCCAAATACAGCCCCTTGGGAGTGGATTAGGGCTTCACCACGGGAAGTGGAGGCAGCACAGTTCAGTCCATAACAGTCACGAACACAGAAAGGTCTTTATGCTCTAAATTTTTAATGAGATGGTTCTTCAGTACGATAAAATAGGAAGCAACTTCAAGGTCCAGCCTTGAGGAAATAAGACATGATGCAACCATTCGAAAGATGGAGGGTCCCTAGACTGGTGGACAGAGGGTTCCTGGGGGATGGAGGGTCCCTGGATGGACAGATGGTCCCTGGGGTGACAGAAGGTCCCTTGGCGGAGAACATGTGGCCATGGGGCATCATGTGTGAGGGAGCGGCTCTGAACTTCATATTTAGGGCAAAGGACAGGCCACCTGCTGTGTGAGGGCCCTCAGTGACTGTGTTCGTCTCCTTGACTGCTTAGAAGAAAGACAGGAAGGAACTGTGTTGAAACATCAGTGGTGGCTATGTTTGGCAAGCTGGGAGATTTTTCTTTTTCATTTCTACTTTTGTTTTCCAAATTTCCTTTTACAAGCATTCTTTACTTTTATCATGGGAAGAAAGGCCAAAAAAGTTTAAAAGCCCCCGGTGTTCTGTGACCCACGATCAGTCTAAGAGCAGAATTTTCATCCCAGCATGGAGAAGTGCCAGTGTCTGAAAAACACTCGTTCTCTTTGTGAAAGAATGAACTTGCAGTATTTTTCTGGAAGAAACTGAATGCAGGGTTGAAAGAACAGTGCATTCAGTGTGTTCTCATTCATTGATGTCAATGACATAAAAAAATCACAGTAGCCTTGGGGAAAATAGAGCTTAAAATTTTTCTAAATAAGTTAGTAATGCACATTTTTAAAAAGCTTCGAAAAGGAGACACTTTGGGTAAAAAGCACGGGCTGTTGCAGGAGCACTCTCTTTAGCTGTGGGGCGGGGGTGGGGTAAGAGTAGCCCTCAGGCACCCTGCCCCACCCAGCACCAAGATGTACAGCTTCTCGGCCCTCCAGGCAGCACGGTCTGTTCCCGTGAAAGACCTGTTCTTAAACCGTCTGAAATTCAGCCTGAGTGGCCAGTGCCTGTTCTGTGGGCAGCACCAGAGCCGTTGAGGGTACTGCAGCTGCTGGCCAGAGCTGTCCTGACTCTCGGCCGACCCCGCTGCCTCCGCTCACCCTGCCTTCTGCCCCTTCCAGAAAGTCCGTTCTATGTCCTCATCGAGACCTCGGGTTCTGGAGCGGGACATGATGCCGAGAAGCTGAGCGCCTTTCTGGAGCAGGTCCTGGGCTCTGGGCTGGTGACTGATGGGACCCTGGCCACCGATCAGAGGAGGATCAAGGTATGTGCTGCGAGCCCCGCCTTCCCCTGCTTCAGCTCATCCTGGCATCTGAAGGTTAGAGAGTGAGGACGGTGGCTGAACATGAGCGGGTGTCCTTGACCTGACCAAGTCTCCTCTTTGGAAACCACTCTTGGTGCCTGGATAACTTTCATTAGTGTTTCAGACAGGCAGGACGAGCTCGAGGGGCTGTGGGTGGGTTGGTGGGAAGCCAGGCCAGTTTTCCCAGGAAACATGTTGATGTTGGCACCAGAGAGTGACTCGGAAGGAGGGGCGGGTCTAGGGCAGTGGGGGCCAGCAGCTCCCATTTTCTGTGGTGGCCTCTGGGCTGCAGGGTGGAGAGTGGCCAGCAGGGGGCGGCAGGTGCAGGACTGGGAAGGCAGAGAGGAGCTGGGGGCCAGTGGGGAGCAGGATCTCGGCCTCGTTGACCTTCTTTGGCTCCTTTATCTTCACACTTGACATGTATGTTCACTAAATATTACCTGTGAGGGATTGTTCGCCGGTGCCTTGTCCAGGCGAGGTGGCCTGAGCACGGCCCTGGGCTGCGTGCTGGGAAGGCCCTGACTTCTGAGCCCTGATTTCGGACCCCGGCCCTGGCCTGTCATCCTGGGGGCCTTCACCACCTTTCCGTCTCAGTGCTCCCTCCCCTCCCATCCTTTGGCAATTTCCTTGCTCCCAGTAGACGTGGCTGGGCATCCCGGGCTGTGCCCTGGGGGCTGTGTCCTGGTGTGTGCTCCACTGGAGGAACGGGGGTGACTTGTTCACACTCAGGACCCCCAAGTGCCCTCCTCTGTCCTCAAGAAGCAGAGCGTGCCGGGGTTTCCTTTCCAGTCTCCCGCTGTTTTCAGGGAGGAATGTCCAGGCCTCAGGGACTGCATTGCAGAGGCCCCTGCTCCCTCCGTGCACATGGTGGCGCCTCCGAGCAGCGGTGGCCCTGGTCCCCTCTCCTGAGTCTCCTGATCTGGGGACCAGCCCTGACCAGCAGCCCTGTCTCCACCATTGCATTGTTTTCTTGGTAGGAAGAAGGCAGGGGCTGGGGGGACACTGTGTGCTCGGGCTTCTGCTCAGGGCAGCAGATGGCTCTGCGTAAAGCTCATCAGATGGGGCGAGTGGCCTGAGCTGTCTGCTGGCCTCTGGGTGGGGCACCCCTCTCACTGGCGGGCAGTGCAGCCTGCCTCTGTGCTCGGTGCTGGCCAGGTGACATGAGAGGGGCTGGGCCGGGTGACACGGGAGGGGCTGGGCTGGCTTCCCTCCGAGGTGGGGGCTTGGGGGGCAGTCAGGAGGACGTCTCTGAAGGGGCATTTGAGCACAGAGGGGTCGGAGGTGGGAGCGAGGAGCCCTGTGCAGGAGCACAGAGGCCCTGAGGGGCTGGTGCCTCCTGTATTCCAGAACATTCTGGAGACTGAGTGAGGGTGGGCCGGGGTGGGGCAGACTGCTTGGCTGCTGTAGGACACCATGGACCTGGGTGGATGTAGCAGGGCCTGCGGGGACTCAGTCCAGCCTTACAGGTATATCTCTGGGCTCTGGGTATGTGAGGAGTTCAGGCCAGTAGGAGCTGCTGATGGTCAGGGTTCTGAGTGTGGGGGACAGGGTGCAGAGTGACCACAACTTGTAAAAAGTCTGTGAGCTGTTTGGGGAAATCTGGACACTGGCTGGATATTCCGTGGTGGTGAGGAATTACTGTCGTTTTTTAGAGGTGATCATTGCACTGTGGGTATGTTAAAAAAAGAAGAGAGTTTTCACCTTGTAAAAGAATTGCCTTGCTGTGAGGTTTCCCCAAATGGGGGAGGTGGGTATACGGGGGCAGGACAGGGACAGGCCCAGGTGGGACACTCCGTGTGCTCGTCCCTGCTCTGAATGTCCAAAGGACAGCTGCATCTTCGGAGGCTAGGAGGGCGCAGACTGGGTTTTCAGGGGGCAGCGTTGCCTGTGAGGCCACCCGGCCTCGCTCCCTGCTCCAGCCGCCCCCTGCCCCAGCCACCGCACCCCTGGTCCCCGAGTCCCGCTCTGACCCCTGACCCCGACCTTGCTGAGGGCCTGCATCACGGGGTCAGCCCATGTGCTTGGAGTGTCCCCTCCATCTCAAGGGGCCCTGGGACTGAGTGCTGGGCTCTGCACGCTTTTGGGGGCCAGCCTGCATTAGCGCTGGTCCCGACAGTGCGTTTCTGTCACCTCCCCAGTCACCCCATGGTGGCCTCCCTGAGTGCTGTCACCACAGACGCCCCTGCCTGACACGGTGTGACTGTGCCTGTTCCCCCTCGGTTCCAGATGCTGTGGGCCCTGAGGGAGAGGATCACAGAGGCCCTGAGCCGGGATGGCTACGTGTACAAGTACGACCTCTCCTTGCCCGTGGAGCGGCTCTATGACCTCGTGTTGGATCTGCGCACCCGCCTCGGCCCGCGGGCGAAGCACGTGGTGGGCTACGGCCACCTGGGTGAGCACCCCAGTCTGTGGACACCTGTGGCTGCTCCACACCCTCCCCTGTGCTGGAGGGGACCCTCATTACTTCACCGTTCTCTAGGGTGTTTTGGGAAAGACTGCCGAGGTCTGGTCTCGGTGGCATGCTTGTGGGTCTGGCTGGGATGTGGAAAGAGGGGGACCCTTAACCCGGGCATCCCGCGTCCCTCCGGGGGCCATGTCACTTTCCCAATGTTTGATAAAGAGCTCTCACTCCTCTGCATCTCTTCACATGGAGAGAGTTTAAAGCTGGTTTGGTTAATTATTTTTTGCAGAAAAATTATGCTTTATAAGTTATTAATTCACGGGAAGGAAATTCTTTGTTCCCCTCAATTCCTGGCAGCCTGTGGAACAGGCATCTCAAAGCCCCTTTCACAGGGCAGGTGTGGTAGCGGGTAGGGCGAGGGTCTGGCCCAGGGACATGGGGTGTCACCTGCCTGGAGTCTCCCTCCGCCCCACCCTGTCTACACCATGGGGTCCAGGTACCACCTCCTGGGGTTGTGGGAGGGTTTGAGAAAGTGGGGTGAGGGGTGCTGTGAAGGCTTGCCCTGCCCGGCATGGCTCCGACTGCCTGGTGTGGAGAAACTGTCTTAGGACGGGGTTCGGGGGCGCGCATCCCTCGCTCGTGATCATAACCGGCTGAGTGGTTCAGGAGCTCGCCCGAATTGCCAGCCTGGTGAGCGCCTTGTCCAGTGTTTGATGGACAAGAGGAGATAACCTGCACTATTGAAACAAAAACAGATTCAGCGTTGGCAGCAGCACCCCCAAGTGTGGGGGGGTGGGGAGTGGGCGTCTCCCTGGGGCCCTGAGCTGGGGCAGTGGCAGACAGGTGAGCCCCTGAGACCTGCCAGTGGCTCGGGGTGGCCGCTTCCGTGGAAGGCCAGCTGGTGAGGCGCACCTGTGAAGGACAACACCTGAAACCTGGGGGAAGGAAACACAGGTGAATGTCTGTGTGACCTAGAGGTGTCTTCACAGAACACAGGAGCTATAACCCTGCACTTAATCAGACTGAGAACCTGAGCTCGGTGGCAGTAAATGCTTGTGTTCTTCCAACAACCTTGGTGGGAACGTCGGCAGGCAGAGGGTTTTGAGGGAGGCCTGGGAGGTGTGGCTAGGACCCGTGGTGGGCTCGTGGGGTGGCTGGGAGCCCTGGCCCAGGGTCTGGAAGGTGACACCTGAGCGGGAGGGGGTGTGGGCAGGAGGGCCCCTGCACCGGGAGGTGGCCCGTGGGCGCGGCCAGCAGCTGGGCAGGCTGGAGGTGCCTGGCTCCCCAGGTGCTGACTCCAACCTCTCTGCCCCTGAGAAGAAGCCATCTCTGTTAGAGATGGAAGGAGGGCTCCCACTGTAAGTCGAGGATGAAGGTGGAACTTGTCAAACGCTTTCTCTGCGTCTGCTGAGTGGCTGGAGCTTGTCTTCCTTTGATCAGCCTCCCAGGTGACTCCAGACCCTCTGGGCAAGTGGCTTTGTGTCTTGGAATAAGCCCAGCGTGGCCGTGATCCTTTCTGTGTCTTGTCTGATTCCGTTTATTTATCCTGTGTAGGGTTTTCCCCATTCTGTCTTGGGAGGCTCCCCTCTTCTGTCCAGGATGGGTCGGCCTCAAAATCACAAAATGGTTTAGGGATCGTCTCTGGAAGAGTCTGGGTCAGGCTGAAGTGACCTCCTCCTTGAATGTGTGGTAGACCCTGCAAACGAAGGCACTTGGGCCTGAAGTTCCTTGTGGGTATTGGGGCGGGGGTGGGGGCTTGACTGCAGACCAAGTTACTTAGCAGCTGCAGGACTGCCCTGGCTCTCCTTTTCTTCTGAATTGGTTTTGGCCATTTTTTCCTGGGAATTTGCCCATCTCCCGTAAGATACGGAGGTGTCAGCATCCTGTCGTTAACAGTATCCCCTCGTTTCCTTTGTGCCGTGTGTGGCACTGGGGGAGCTATGTGACTCCTGATTTGGCTCATTTCTTGTCTCTGTCACCTGAAGAAAAGTGTGCAGCCTCAGAGTTGTGAGTTGTTTTGTTTGGGGCAGTACTGAGACTTCAGCCCGGGAGGCAGCCGCTCAGTAGCTCGGAGGGACTGCTCCAGAGAGGTAAGGGAGGGGCTGGGGTATAAAGGAGTTTTTGCTGGGAAAAAACCCCCCATGTATTCAAACATCAAAAGATCACCACTAATCATAGAAAACAGACACCTCGAGTTAACGATTTTAGTTCGTTTCTCTGAATGGGAAGATTCAAGAGTCTCGGCCCACTGACGTCATTCCTCGGACGTGCACCTCAGCCTCCGGGGACAGGATGCAGAGCACACGTGCTCCTGCTCCTCTGCCTGCGTCCGACTTCCCCTCCGGGCCCGGCCTGACCCTTGTTTCCTGGAACGGCGGCCACACTCCCCGCGCCTGCTCTGTCTTGCCTTTCCTGCTGTTGCCTGGGCCCTTTCCCTCCCTCCTCCACTCAGGCGTGCACACCTGCTTCCCTAACCTCATCCGTTAAGTGCTTAGCTCACTGATTTTCAGCCTTCTTGCTTCTCTGTGTAGGTGTTTAAGTTTTCCTCCGCCTGGTCCCCCTGGTGTTGGTTTTCAAACAGTGAGTCTGTTTCTTACTTGTCAGGCTCCACAGGTTCTCTGATGCGCCCAGAGCGATCCCTGGGGTCACACCTGGCTCAGGAATCCCAGTTGTCTGCTGCCAGGGCAGTGCCCCGTGTGTTGCTGACACTGCTGGGCGCCTGGTGCCGGCGGGGCGGGGCCCGGAGGCCCCGGGGTTCTCCCTGAGCTGTGCTTGTCGCAGCTGCTGAAGTGACTTCGGTCTGTGGTAGAGCCCACCCGTTTTTGTTTTTGTTTTCATTTTTCAGTTTTATTAGGTAAAATTGATACAATGTGACCGCACGCTACAATATATTGCACGTAAATACATATATACTGCACATATCTTTAAAAATTTACATATGTGTATTGTTCATTGTTTCTAAGAACAGCTTAGAGCTTTAGCTTTTTAAACTTACGTAGTTATCAAAGGAATAAAGCCAACCACAGAACAAGAATGAACAGAATGTGGTGATCCAGTCATAAAGGACAGTCACATGTGCTTACACATATTCAGTAGTCAGTCATTCAAGGTACAGATAATAAGTAGTTCATTTGTGTCCCTTTTTTAGATTCCACATGTGCGCGACAGCATGTGGCATTTTTCCTTCTCTTTCTGGCTCACCAGTTCCCACCCGTGTGCCAGCATTCTCATTATCTCTCAGTCCTGAACATTTCCTAATTTCTGTGGTCATTGCTTCTTTGACCCACGAGGTAGGTAGAATTGTGTTTTAAATTTCCAGACATATGGGAGTTTTCTAGCCATTTTAAAGTTTATTGACTTGTTAATTGCACTGGGGCAGAGACTTGGGTCTAACACAGCAGTTGTTGACCCTCAGCTCCAGCTCAGGATGTGGTCAATATTCAGGACTCTTTGGTGTGTGCTCAAGAGGGCTGTGCCCCCTGCAGTCAGGGGACCCATGTTTGTGCAGGTCCTCCAGATAAAACATGTATGCTGTGCTGCCAAATCATCTGGAGCCTGCTGGCCGTCAGCGGCTGACCGTGACACAGGGCTCCTCTGTTCCTCCTGGTAGAATGTGGGGGATTAGGACTGACACCTCATTCTGGCAAATTAACTCTTGTCATGCTGGACTGACTTTTTATCTCTCGGGTTGCTTTTGCCATGGTACTTTGATATTATACAGTAACACTAGCTCCCTTTTATATAGTGTTTCCCTGACATGTTTTTCTTCCTGTTACTTTCAACATTTTTCTGTCCTTGTGATTTAGACATGTCCCTTGTAGACAGCACACAGCTGGGATTTTTGTCTTTTAACTAGAGTGATTAGCTTTTTTTATGTAGGGAAGGGAAAGCTTAATTTTTTCCCTCTGCCCTCTTAGGTTCTTTGTCTGGGCCGTGGTAAATTAGACAGCAAAAGACAGATTAACAAGAGAAGAACACATGCATTCATTCATGGGCATCATACCTGCACAAGGGAGGCTGAGGGGGATGTTAGAACTTGGGCTTCTGGAGCATTTTAGCAAAGAACAGTGCACTTTGGAGATGCACAGACAAGGAGGGGCTTCCAGGGGGGCAGCTGTGGGAAGGTGAAGCGCACATGGGAAGCTGAGGGCAGGAGGCTGCTGCCCCCGTTCCTCTGGTCCAGGCTGAGCTGGTGACTCTGTCTCTGTCCTTCTTGGAGTGCGGGGACAGGGGGCCTTTTATGCATTCACGCCCTGCTTAGCGGTGACTGGCGGGGTCGGGGGCAGAGAACTTTCCTTGTGTCGGTTTCTTCTCAGTTGCCTTCAGCTCAAAATAAATGTTATGCCAACGTGGCCCATTTTGGGGTGGCATGTCCGCTGCCCCTCATTTAGATACGCCGCGGATCCTCAGTGACCTGGATTCGTCTGACTTTGGGCCTTCTATCTATCTGTCCCTCATTTCTTCTTTACTTCTTGTTCTCTAACTTAATTAACTTCGTTTGGTTGATGTGTTTTCTCGTTTACTTTGTTTCTACGTCCTAGTTGAGGAATTGTGCGTGTCTGTCTGTCCTTTAGGTAGTAGCCTTCAAGTTGTAGCTTAGCTTACCAGGTTCTAAGCTAATCAGTATCAGTTTCCCCCTCCCAAACAGTGTGCTGGTTCATTTTAAGTGCCAGCTTGGTGAGGAGTGGCGCCCAGATGCTTGGTCAGATGCCCATCTAAATGTTGCCGTTAAGGTGTCTGTAAGATGTGACCAGAGTTTAAATCCGCGGACTTGGAGTAGAGCAGCTGACCCGCCGGAACACGAGGGCCTCACCCAAGCTGAAGGCCTCGAGAGAAGAGACTGGGGCCCCTGAGGAAGAGGGGTTCTTCCTTCTGATGGCCTGACTCCCTTGCACCGTCAGCCCGTCCTGGGTCTCCAGCCGTGGGGCTGCCTGCAGATTTCTGACTTGCCAGCCCCGCAATTTTGGGACCAGCTCCTTAAGATCAACCTCTCTGTCTCTCCGTCCCCCACCCCACGTGTTGTAATGCACCTGCACGTGTCCTGCCCATTTTTTGGTTGAGTTGCTTGTTTTTGTATGTTTGTTTGTTTTTACTAGTAAGCTGTATGAGCTGTTTGTATATTTTGGAGATTACTCCCTTGTTGGTCTCATCATTTGCAAATATTTTCTCCCATTCAGTAGGTTGACTTCTCATTTTGTTGATGATTTCCTTATCTGTGCAAAAGCTTTGAGGTTTAATTAGGTCCCATTTGTTTATTTTTGCTTTTATTTCCATTACTCAAGGAGACGGATCCAAAAAAATATTGCTGCGATTTATGTCAAAGAGTGTTCTGCCTCTGTTTTCCTCTATGAGTTTCATAGTATCTGGTCTTACATTTAGATCTTTAATCCATTTTGAGTTTATTTTGGCATATGGTGCTAGAGAATGTTACAGTTTCATCCTTTTACATGTACCTGTTCAGTTTCCCCAGCACCACTTATGGAAGAGACTGTCTTTTCTCCATTGTATATTTTTGACTCCTTTGGGCTTCATCTGTGGGAATTTTTTGAGGCCTGGGTGGAGGTGATTTGCTCGTGCCAGGTATGGGGAGGGTGAGGGGTGGGGTGGGGTGGGGTGGGCCCCCCCACCTCCAGCCTGGAATGTCTTTCATCTTCATGTTCTTAGCTCAGTGTCTCTGGGACCAGGAGGCAGTGTGAATTCTGCTGCAGGTCTCTACCAGCTGGTTGATGCTGTGAATATTTGGGAATCAGTGGAGATGAGTTTCTTTCCACAATTTTCCTTGGGAAAGTCCCTCGATAGGAGTGTTTTCTGAGTCTTCCCCCGATTATATCAGTGGTGACCACTTTTGATTTGCTTGCTATGTTTCACAAATGTGCATGGAGGGAGGGGCCATACGAGTCACCTGTCAGAGTCCCCAGGTCACCTGGTCAGAGTCCCCAGGTCACCTGGTCAGAGTCCCGAGGTCACCTGGTCAGAGTCCCCAGGTCATCTGGTCACAAGCCCCCAGGTCACCTGGTCAGAGGCCCCCAGGTCACCTGGTCAGAGGCCCCCAGGTCACCTGGTCAGAGTCCCCAGGTCACCTGGTCAGAGTCCCGAGGTCATCTGGTCAGTGGCCACCAGCTCACCTGGTCAGAGGCCCCCAGGTCACCTGGTCAGAGGCCCCAGGTCACCTGGTCAGAGTCCCCTCGTCATCTGGTCACAAGCCCCATGCCTGCTCCCCTTTGCCCCCATGTTGCCTCTTTGCTTTTGTTTCAGCCTCTGGGAGTCCTTCTCTGGCTTCCAAGGCTCCCTGCCCCTCAGCATAGCAGCATCCCTCCCTGGGCCTCCCCCACTGGCCCTTGAGTGGACATGGGGCCTCCCTCTGTCCCTTACCAGCTCCCATGGTGGCTTTGTCTGCTGTTCACTCTGACAACTCCTGGGTGTTCACCTCCCAGGCTGTGCTCCCTGCCCCCAGCCCCCAGGCCGTGGTGACCCCACATCTGTTGTCCTCTTCTGTCCTCTCCCCAGTGGGCATGGGCCCACCCTGGCCCTCCTCTGGCCAGAGTCCAGCCAGCTCCTGGCCCCAACCCTGGCCTCTTACCCGCGTTGACTTGATTAACCCTGTGCTTCTTGCCATTGCTTTCGGGCCCATGGGCGGTGAGCCAGGCCATACCCAGGACCACTGGACAGTTGAGGGGGTCCTGAAGGCCAGAGGGTGGGGTGGGTGGCTGAGCAGACCAAAAAGGAGGCATCTGGGGAGCCAGGACTTCGTGGTGGGCGTTGTCTGGGTGGCGTTGGAAATGGTGTCCTGGAGGTAGAGGACCCCCCTGGCATCCATGAGGGACATCTGCAGTGTGGGGATGCCCTGGGTGCCCGGAGACCCCGTCTGGTGGCCGCATCGGTGGTCTGGCCCTGGCTCGCAGCTGGGTTGGTGTTCGGTCACTCAGCCTGGAGCCCTCAGGGGGCCATGTGGGTCGGGCGGGTGGGGAGAACATGAAGAGGAAAGTGTGTGAAAGCCAAGGGAGCTGTGACCCCCAAAAGAAGGGTGGTCACCAGCAGGCCGCTGTGTCACTCAGGTCAGTGGCCAGTGGCCCGAGGGGCTGGTGTCAGACTGTGAGGACAGACAGAGGCGGGGGTGGGACCGGACTGGGCCTTTCCAGGAGGGCTGGGGGCTCTGGAGGAGGGGCGGGCCAGCCTGACCTGCCTGTCCCTGTCCCTGTGCTTCCAGGGGACGGCAACCTGCACCTCAACGTGACGGCCGAGGCCTTCAACGCATCGCTACTGGGCGCCCTGGAGCCCTATGTGTACGAGTGGACAGCCAGGCAGCGGGGCAGTGTCAGTGCTGAGCACGGCCTGGGCTTCAAGAAGAGGGATGTCCTCTGCTACAGCAAGCCACCTGAGGCCCTGCAGCTTATGCAGCAGCTCAAAGCCCTGCTGGACCCCAAGGGCATCCTGAACCCCTACAAGACGCTGCCCACCCGTGCCTGACTGCCCCTGGGGTTGGTGGGAGCCTCTGGAGGGGCTGTGATCCTGACTTGGATTTGCCCATGGGTGGGCCTGCAGGCCTGGCGTGGGCTCGGAGGGCTTCCCTCCAGTGGAGCCAACAGCTGGGGGGAATTGGCCTCCTGGTCAGAGGGGCTGGGAACGGCCCTGCGGAGCCTGGGACACAGGGCTTGGGGCAGGACTCTTTGGGGTCTGCTGGTTCTGGGGTTGCTGAGCGGAGATCCGCCCAGTCTGATCTGCCTGTCCTCTGGGCGGGCGCTCCGTCCCTTTGCAGGTTCTGAACAGGCTGGGAGGGAGAGCAGTTCTGTCTGCTCAGAGTAGATCAGGCCGCCCCTTCCTTGCCTGTGGCCCCCGGAATTCTGCCTCATGGGGTGCAGCCCTAGGAGGGGGCATGGGGGTCCTTCTGCTGGTCCCACACTGTGCGAACCTCCCAGGGGCCTGGGCAGAGGTGATGAACTCCATGTGGGCTGGGAGCGCTGGGAGGCTGGTCCGTCTGAGGCTCTGATCACCAGAGCCTGGGTCTTCGGCACTATAAGGACGACTGGGGACCGGTGACTGCTGGTCATGTTTGAGGCAGAGTGACAGGAATGCCCCCACCCTGGGAGGTATCATCTCCCCGTTTTCTAGAAGGCCCATCAGTTGACAAGACCGTTGTCAGAAGCCAGGCGTTTATTTCTCGCACTTGGTGGTTTGCTGTGTTGTGTTCACGGAGATGAGTGTTCCCGGTTCTGCTTTTACCATGATTGTCAGTGGTGTCAGGTGAGAAGCCCTGCCAGGCACAAGCAAGGCATCTGCGACAGAGCGGTTTCCAGACACGACGTCACTTACCCTGATGGGTTCTCCTGTTGACTTGGTCCCTGGGGCAGCTGCTGGGGCTGTGGAGACAGTCTGGGAGGTTGGACATATGTTTCCTCTTCCTGGCTGCCATGAACTTCCAGTAAAAATGGGAATTGGTCATGACACTCTCCTTTCTTCTGTCACTAGGAGCATGATGTCATAATAGCCCACGTGAAGTGCCTGTGTACCATGTTCCTAAAGCACCCGAACATCAGGGCTGACAGAGTGACCCGGGGCTGGATCCTGTTCCTGTCCCCACCCCCGTCCCCACGCCATGTCCCTTGCGCCCATGCCCCACTGTGTGACGCAGCCCTGTCTTGTCCGGCCCCTGGGGCATGGTCTCCGTTTCCTGAAGCTCAGAGGCCGGTCAGTTCTTGTTGGTGATGTGCAGGGAGGGGCTCTGTGGTACAGAGTGACTTTCCATAAAAAGCTTTAGGGTAAGTATGTTTCTTTTGGAGAATGAAAATAATGCATGAATTATTAAAAGTCTCTAATAAAAAGTGGGGCCTTTTAGCTGGAGTAGGGGTGGGGCTTTGAGACAGTGGCCTAGTGACCTGGGTGGAAGGGAGGAAGTAGCAGGAGGAACTCTGTTTCCGGGAAGGATGAGTTGGCCCCCAAGATGCCTAAAAGTGAAGTAGGAACTGTTTTCCTGCAGTTCATTCCTGGGGCTCACCCCAAGAATCCACCTGTGCACAGGTGCACATGCAGACACAGTGCACACACAGGCACACGTGCACACTTGCACACGTTGGTGTGCCCCTGGGACGTGCACGGAGCACTGTCTGTAGGTGGTCAGTCACTGGCCAGGCCATCCAGGTGCCTGTTGAGAAGGAGGCGGGTGTGTGCCTCAAGCCCCTGGACAGAGGGCCAGGGAGAAGAGAGGTGGCAGGCAGCTCACCTCCTGCTTCTGAGAAGGGACTTTGACTCTCGGAAGCTAGGTCACTGCAGTTGGGGCTCACGTTGGGGAGGGTTCCTGGAGCTTGGGGTCAGGTGGGGAAGAGATGTTACTTTTTATATTTTTTGGATGATTTGGGTTTATATGTTTATTTTGCAAGCACGTGTACACTTTTATAAAGTAGGCGCACGCTGATTCAGAGATCCTGTGGGAGCCGGCTGCTGCTGGGCTGCATGGATGCGGCCGGGCGTGGGCTGCATCCTCCGTCCCCTCCCCGTTACCCAAACAGAGCCTGCTCTGAAGGGACCCCAAGCCCCTGCTGGCCCAGCTGGCCCCTGATGCTGCCTCCCTGGCCAGGGTCCTCTGGCTGTGGATGAACCACACCCTGGCGGAGGTGGGTGTTCTCCTGGGGGGTTTCTTGGGCCCAGCACAATTTCAGGGCATGGGTCAGGGGTCCATCTCAAGGCCCCGTGCTGGCCCAGCAGGTATGCTTGTCAGGGCACCTGTAACTGCCTCCCTAGGCCAGGTGGCTCTCTTGTCTCTGTCCCCAGCTGGTCCCTCCTGCTCTCTGCAAGGATTTAAAACAAGGATCCTCTCCCCACCGGTTGCCAGCTGTCCATGACCTCGCCTGTTCTAGGGCCTGACTGGGCCTGTCACTGTGGGCCACTGCTGGCTGCAGGGCTGCCACTGGGACTCCTGTGGGCCCCAGCCTCACCAGCCCTGAGAGCTGGCTCTGTCCTCACGGCCATGGCCACTATTCCGCTGTCCCTGGCTGGGCACTCAGCATGATGGAGCTGCCCAAGGCTCATGGCAGCTTGCCTCTCTGCCTCCACCCTGCCGAGGCCAGCAGGTGTTCTGGTGCTCAGCATCTGACCCCCTGGGAGCCCCCAGTTTTGAGGCTGCGTTTCCCCAGCTGCTTGTGAACTGGAGACTCGTTTCCCCAGCTGCAGTGGCCTGGGTGGAGGAGGTGGTGGTGATGGGCCGTGGAAGGTAGGCACGTGCCAGGCATTTCCTACCAGTGGGACCTTGAGGGCAGTGGGCTTGCAAATGGGGGTGGGATCCACCGGCCACCGACCCTTGTCCTGGGACTCACAGTGGCAAGGGTGCAGATGCCGTTTCCCATGCTCGCCTCAGCCCGTGATGGCTCGCTTCTGCTCTCACACCCCTGCCCTGCTTGTCTCTGCGCCGTCTTAGTGGACGGTGTCTTGGAATCAGTGAACCGCAACACAGCCTGGTAGAGTGGACACGGGACGGAAGCCCACGGGTGTGAGGAAGGACAGGGAGGTCTGGAGTTTTCACACCTCCAGAAAAACCGGCTGGAGCAGCAGGAAGACCAGAGGAAACCCATTGCATCCTGGCAGGCGGGGCTGTCAGCACCTGTGGATGCAGACTGGCCAACACCACAGACCCCCGGTGCCCGCGGAGAACACGGCTCTCCTGAGCGCACTTCAAAGCAGAACCCAGTGAAACGCCCCTGCTCACTGTCCAGAACCCCCAGGCCAAGAGGTTGCACAAAACATCCCAGGAAAAGACAGGGAGAGGGGCAGGCCGGACTGCCAACAAAGAAGCCGAACCCGGTCCGGACCCCGCGGGGGTAGGGGTGCGGGAGAGACCACCCTACTCCTCCTGAGGCCCCCTCCACGCCGGTACCAGGAGGCTCCCCAGGGTAATCTTCCAATGTTCCTGCAGGTGGTGAGGAGGGAGGGGAGGGTCCTATTGTGTCTGGATTAGGAAAAGCTTATGATTTTCACCTTAAAACCTCTACGCCCTGCAGCCTGAGAAGAGGTCATGTAACAGGAGTGCTCACAGCAGAGGCCCGCAGAGGGCCGTCTGGCGAGCAGCTGCACCTGGAGGGGTCGGGAGTGGTGGGGAAGGGGCTGCATCAGCCTCAGTCTGCAGGGCGGGAGGGAGCCCCAGACAGGCATGGGAGCAGACTGTCAGGGATCCTGGGGGGAGCCAGGAGGCCGCCCCTACCTCAGTCCCTGGGTTGGGATGTGGCTGCGGGTGGCAGCCCTGGCCAGGCCTGCAGGGAACAGAGTCCCAGGACAGAAGCCGTGAGCTGGGCGCAGGGGGTGCTTGGGCAGCTGTGCCCCTGCCCCTGGGTCGGATTTGGCTCCTTAAGTTCGGGCAGAAAGAAGCCAGGGCCCCCGGGGCTGTTGCCTCTGTGGACTCTGGCGGGTGGTCAGTGGCAGAGGCCTGACACTGGCTCCCCTGAACCCTGGGCTGGCCAAGGGGGTGCAGTCCCCCGTCCCTGGATGGGAGGAGGCCTGCCTTCCTGTTAAGGCCGGGCAGAGCCCAGGGGAAGAGGAAGCTGTGCTCTCTGGCCTCCGCTCCCTCCTGGGGCCTGACCCGCCCAGTGCTGTGCAAGACCCTGCCATACACCACAGAAGCGGGAGTGTGAGCAGGGCGGGGTTGCACACGTGAAACTGCCCCTCACACGAAGGGGACAGGCAGGAGGGGTAGGCATGCTCAGGGGTGACCCTCAGGCCCCCCAAGTATGGCTCTGTCTGCAGGGCACCTCGCTTGCTCCCAGATTTTGCTCGAATCTTTTTTTTAAATTTTTTTTCTGGGGGAAGTAATTAGATTTATATATTTTTTTAGTGGAGGTGCTAGGGATTGAACCCAGGACCTAATGCATGCTAGGCATTCACTCTACCACTGAGCTCTACCCTCCCCCTTGCTCCAATCTTCTTGATGTTCCATCTGCCCTGGGGCCCTGCTGGGGTGAGCCAGAGCCCTCCAGACCCTGGTCTTATGGGGGCTCCACCCGGGACCCAGGGTCACAAGTGGCCCCCTCCCTCTGTGCCTCCACCTGCCTGGGGCTGGGGCCATCTATACTGCAGGTCCCGTTGCTTTGTCCTGTTCTGTCCCTCAGCCCTGATCTGAGCCGGGGGTGCAGCGGACGGACCCTGGGCCGCCCACCCTGGGCTGCTCTTCCTGCCCAGATCTGGTTGCTGGGACCCCAAGTGGAGTGTGGAGCCTCTGGAAATTCAGGGACTGGGGAGGGAACTCCCAGACCTCCCGCCAGGTGGAAAGGGACTGTTGCCTTGAAAGGTGGGGCGAGGCACTCCGTGACTTCAGGAGGGAGGAATGCAGAGGATGCTGGGAGTGTCCAGGAGGAGAGCTGCCCACCGCCTGCCGGCAGCACTATGACCCCCAGACGCAGGTGGAGGTGAGCAGGGAAGGGAGGCAGCAGGGCTTCTGGTGAGGGGTAGGGGAGCTGTGGCCACTGGGCCAAGGGTCTCTGATGCTAGTGAGGCCATGTGGTGGGCAGCATGGCTGTCCTCTGTCCAGGCCATCCGCAGAAGGGATGCCGGGGCCGGGGGGCATTGCAGGTGAGTGGGAGCAGGCCTCCCTCTTAGACTGGCCATCCCTGCTCTGGCTGCTGGGCGGCCCCTCGGTCCGGCCTGCAGGGTCACTGGCCACAGGGCAGAGGCATAGGGAGACGTCTGCCCACATGGGGGCCTCTGTGGCTGCTGGATAAGAGCCCCCATGTCAGCAGGGGTGTCCCAGGTCAAGGCTGCCCGAGGACCCCCAACCCACCATCTTGAGCCCACTGAAGCCCCCAGCTGCGGGAAGGAGTGGGGAAGAGGTGGGGCTTACCGGGTCTGAGATGGGCTCTCCAGGAGTGGGGTCGGGAAGGGGAAGGCAGATTGCTCCTTTCCTTGACACGGAGCCCGGGGCCGCACGAGGCCTTGATGACTTGGAGGAATGGTGCTGTTTGCCGTGGCTTATCCGCCCCCAACCCTGACGACTCGGTCCAGGAAGGAGGACCCTGGGAAAGCTAAGGAAACCCTCCTCCCTGCCTGATGGGGAGGACCAGCCATCTCTGGACCAGGCTTGGTTACCAGAGCAAACCTGAGGCTCACTCTGCAGGGAGGGGACTGGGCCAGAGGACTCCGGGGACAGAGGGGAGGAGCACCCCCTACTGCCTCGGGGCTGGGGCCATGGGAGGGTCAGTGACCACTTCTCTCACGGGGCCGGGACTGGTCAGCACCTCAGACCCAGCAGCTTCTTGGAGTAGCCACACCGTCAGGCCAGTGTGCATCTGAAATCCTCCACAGGGTGTCACCCCTGTGCCAGGCTCCCCACGGGAGAGCTCCCGGCTGGGCAGTGACTTGGAGGTGGCTGATGCCCTGGGCTTCGTTGGCCAGTGAGGTGTGAGGGGTAGCGAGGAGCAGGTGAGATGTGCTCTTGCCCACCGCGTGTCCCGGTGGTGGCCAGGCCCAGAGCACACGCCCTTCAGGGGCGAGGATGTCAGTGCCCCAGGGACCTGGTGAGGGTTGGCGTGGTGCATGCAGCACTTCTGTCTCTGTGTGCCTGGATTCTTTTTCTCCACCCCCCCCCCGCCATAGAAGAGAAATACATGGTGCTGGCCTCCAGCTCCCCAAAGACCCTCCTGGAACCCCCACCAAGGATGGAGACAGGGCCTTAGCCTTCTCTTCCACCCTTTCAGTTGAGGGTTTTGAGATTGCAGGCTCCCTGCATTCCAAGATGCAGCCCCTGCCCCCGGTTCCTGCAAGGTGAAATGTGGCCTGCAGAAGCACCAGCCTCTCAGAAAGGGGTGGCAGGGTCCTGAGCCTTTCCTAGGTGCCATTATGCCTGCTACACCAGTCACTGGGGGGGTGCTCAGACCAGGCTGGGGCAGCTGGCATGGAGAGGGGCCTGTGGAAAGGGTCCCCAAAGCCATGGTGAAGCCCAGAGGGGCAGGGGGATGTGACTCCCTGCTCGAGGCTGGCCTGGGGGTGGCCACCCCCCATGCCGTGGGGACTTTGTCTTCCCTTATGGACTTAACACTTATAAAAATGCTGCACACATTTCCCTCAGTCTGTTTTCTAATATATTTATTTCTCTAAGGAAGAGATGTCCTTTCATGGAGTAAAATCTACTCAATTTTTTGTTTATTTTCTACTGAGGGAGCAGGACCCTGTGGCTCTGTTAGGCAGTTAGATGGAAATGAACACTGGGCAGGGGGAGAGGAAGGGGTAAGGAACAACCCAGAAAATAACAGTATATCTGCTCTCAGGATAAGGGACTCCAGAAACTTTTACTTTCTCGAAATGAGGGCCAGCAAAAGAAGCCAGTTAAAGTCAAAACGCTGTAGCTGTGTATAAGAGAAGGACCCGGCATAACTTGACCCAACGTTCATTGTAATGTAATTAACATTACAGTTTGAGCCCCTTCCCTTAGGTTTCTCTGTGTGCTTTATGGGTGAAAACCTGCCCAAAAGGGGATGGGTGTGCCAGAGCACAAGGAACCTGAGCTGTCAATCCGCTTGATCACTCAAAGACACTGAGCCTTTAATCAATCACAAAAATGCCCCTAAGCCAGGACATAAGACGGAAAAACAAAGGAGCGGTGCCGTTTTTCCCTCTCTTCGATTGGCCTGCTCCCAGTTCTCCGGAGGGTACTGTCTTTTACTACCTTTTCACTTTACTAATAAAAATCTTGCTTATATCACACTTTGTCTCTCATTAAAAGTTCTTTTTTTCTGAAAACAAACAACCCAATCTGAAAATGGGTAGAAGACCTAAACAAGCAATTCTCCAAGGAAGACATACAAATGATCAATAGGGACATGAAAAAATGCTCAGTATCACTAATTATCAGAGAAATGCAAATCAAAACTACGATGAGGTATCACCTCACACCAGCCAGAATGGCCATCATTCCAAAGTCCACAAATGACAAATGCTGGAGAGGCTGTGGAGAAAGGGGAACCCTCCTACACTGCTGGTGGGAATGCAGTTTGGTGCAGCCACTGTGGAAAACCGTATGGAGATTCCTCAAAAGACTAGGAACAGACTTACCATATGACCCAGGAATCCCGCTCCTGGGCATATATCCAGAAGGAACCCTACTTCAGGATGACACCTGCACCCCAATGTTCAGAGCAGCACTATTTACAATAGCCAAGACATGGAAACAGCTTAAATGTCCATCAATAGATGACTGGATAAAGAAGAAGTGGTATATTTACACAATGGAAGACTATTCAGCCATAAAACCCGACAACATAATGCCATTTGCAGCAACATGGATGTTCCTGGAGAATGTCATTCTAAGTGAAGTAAGCCAGAAAGAGAAAGAAAAATACCATATGAGATCGCTCATACGCAGAATCTGAAAAAAAAAAATACAAAACAGAAATAGACTCATAGACATAGAATACAAACTTGTGGTTGCCAGGGGGACAGGGAAGGGAAAGGACAGACTGGGATTTCAAAATGTAGAACAGATAAACTAGATTGTACTGTGTAGCACAGGGAAATACATACAGGGTCTTGTGGTAGCTCACAGCAAGAGAATGTGACAATGTATGTATGCTCATGTGTAACTGAAAAATTGTGCTCTACACTGGAATTTGCCACAACATTGCAAAATGACTATAACTCAATAAAAAAATTTAAAAACTGGAAACAAGCTAAGCATAAAAAAGAAATTCTTTTTTTTGGGTGACTAAGAACCGAGGTAATTCTTATTTCCCTTTTCCCAGTAACAGCACCCCCAACTCTGGCCTCTTGTTTATAGAGAAGCTGGCTTCCCTGAGTCTTAGAAGAGAGGCCCCAGCAGCTGGTGAGGACAAGCCTGTGGGCACTAGGGGATGGTGATGACTTTGACGCCTACCTCAGTGGTGAACAGAGATTGCTCCCCCATTTCTCTTTAAAATGTTCATGGCTGAAAAGAATCTTTGGAGATGGTTTTTTTCTGGGGAAATTCTGGGCCCACCAGATTGGAGTCATTCTAGTTAAAAGCAACTTTCCTTTTTGTTACCAGCTGTTGCCCCCAGGATCATAACCCCTGCGCCTCCCTCAGCTAGAAACCAATGACTCTTTTCTAAGAATCCAGAGGCAGCTGTGGAGAAGAAACCAGAAATGATTACAACCAACACTCAGGACAGTGGAGGATCCACGCCCAGTGGATCTGAGCCTTATTATGCACTCACTGTAATATATTAGCATGCTGAGTGACACACCCACCTACAAGCGCCATGATGGTTGACAGTCGCTATGACAACAGTGGGAAAAGCTCACACAAGGACTGAAAAGCTCAACAAGGACTGACTGGCTCCACCACCCCAGAAAGGAGGACACGGTGGCACAAGCCTCCCTAGAAGTCCATGTGGCCCCGCCTGGCTGGCGCGGCCCATCTTCGCTGACGGCTCCCCACTTGATTACCTCTTCCTTTTTCCTCTTTTGAGAAATGAAAGCAGTTTTCGCCCTGTCCCACTGCCTCAGCCGTCAATTCTCTCCAGCCAGCAGGCGAGGACCCACACTTGGGTGGGTCTCCTAATGAGACAGGGGGGAAGGGGGCAGGGCATGGCCATTCAAGAAATAACAGCAGGGGGAGGGTGTAGCTCAGTGGCAGAGCGCATGCCTACCATGCGTGAGGTCCTGGGTTCAATCCCCAGTACCTCCATTAAATAAATAAGTAAACAAACAAACCA